CCCAAAATGGGTAGAAAGTCGTTAATCTGCAAATAATGGAGCCCGTATAATAGCATGGAGTGTTACGGTATGGCACAGCATGCGAGCCCTAGGGAGAATGTTGCCTGACGCATGCGATTTATGGCCGCAATTCGTCATGATCCCCCGAAAGCTGACTAAAATTGAACACAGAATGCCAAGAGTAGAATAGGATAATTTGAAATGAAGATCCAGCGGCGTGTCCTAACTCAACGGATTATCCAAATTTACGTGCATCGATATCGATATGTGACAAAGAAGATTATGAGGCAGCATAGCTTTCGATTGTACCACTGTGTGTAAAGTTAGAAAATGAGTTCCACGTTGATTCGCGATATGATACATTATGTTCATCTCTACGTGATGCAATCATGCAATAATCAAAAATGGAATGATCCTGGTCTGATTTGTACCATTCAACCAATAAAAAATAAAATCCCTAACGGGTGCAAGTTTCAGCTACGCTTTCACGGTCACTGGGACACGCAAACCATCTTACTACGTCAAAGTGGCATATTACGCAAACACTTCTACTGGCATAACTGGTTTAGTCTGATAGCTGATCTGGCGGTAAAATCTTTACTCATTGACACAACTGTTTTAGTTGTCAGCCCATATTTACACTACTGTGAAAAAAGCCTGAAACTGCAAAAAATATGCAGAAATTAGTTTTATAAAAATCTCGGCCAAAAGTTGCAGTGGAAGACATCAGAAGGGTTTGCTACTTTTAAGCGCTAAGAAACTAATACCCGCTTTTAAGAGATACGCCATGGGCCTTTGACAACGTATTACAAACGATCTCAGAAGCACTTAGGTTTTTTCTGTTAAAGCGACTGAAGATGAATTCGTAGCCTCCGTAAAATGCAATTCAAAAATGACGTCACTAAGACGAGAGGAATTCGTTTTTGTGCCATTTGCATTTGGGGCATGTCAATACAACAAAAGCGGTTTCCGACGAAGACGATCGATGCCCTAATACCAATGCATTCTTCTCTAAATTAACTTGATCGCTCGGCATTCAAAAATTAGATAAATTGCGCCGGCAATTCTTTAATCTTCTCCCATTTCTGTCATCCTTTCAAACCATGGTCTCATGCGTAGGTCAGAGACAAAATCCTCTAATCTTATTAGAAAATAACCCAGTTATCCTTTACAATCCCGCGAATTGCATTTGATGACAGTCACCGTATGTCGGTGGCCATTCAGCAAGACTACGTGCATACTAATCGCATTTTGCATTCCTTGTTGTTCACGAATACATCTTTCTTTGGTTTACTGTATCGGGAATGTGGCCTCGAAGTGAAATCCTCGATAACTTTCTTTCCATGACTTCTTAGTAAGAGACAACTGGTGTTCTTCCACTTTCACCAGCGACCGAAGAGATAGGCCCGTTGGATCGACACTCGTTAGGAGATGTTCTTGATGAAGCTGAACTCGCACGTTCCACTTTCCATTTGCCACAGATTTCAACATTCTGAAGGGATTTCCTGGATTGACCACAAGTAAATTTCCAACGACTCCATAGGCTTTCCGCTAACAGCTATTTTTGCCCTTGCCAGGATATTTGATCGTATTAAATATGCATAGAGCAAGCACTTACATGAGAAAATTAATGCATGTCAATTAATTGATGCATAATTTGTTCTGCTACTTCGGAATTTCGTACGGAGGGGAATGTGTGACTACAGTAAAGACACAACAAGCAACAGCTGT